ATCAGCATTTCCTCCTCTTTATAATTTAGCAGCCTGCCTCTCTGGTCACAGTGTGATGTTCGTGAACGTTCTGTCTAAACTACTCAAAAGAACTTTTCTCTCAGTCCCTCGGCGTGTGTTTCCACCCAGAAGTCTGTCTTGTCTCCACAAGGTGGTGTCATGTTCATTAGCTGAGTGTCGCAGCTCTTTATACCTCCGACTCTTACCTTGTTGTGCTGATAATACCACATGTGACTCAACCACAACTTTAATAAGATAAAGACGTCTCAAGCGCATCCTTGATTACCTCTGATTTAATAACAGAAGTTACGAAAGCTTGTTTTCATCACACACACCTTGCTGTATGAAGAGCCAAGTGTGATGACAGAAGACGGATCACTGCTGAGAGCAGCTCAGTCGGGTGAGACGGTGAAACCCACCCCCACTCATAACCCCAGGTTGGAAGATATCGGCCCACGTAGCAGGCCGCCTTGACCTTTAAAACGATGGTGGCTTTGGAGTGGAGACGGTTCATTGACCAAAATGCCTGTCGGTCCATTAAAGATCATGGATCTTCAAAAAAGGTCAAAAGACAGGGCATCCCGGAATCGGTGAGAGCTCGCCAACCGATGAGCCCGCCAACCTCACCTCTTCCTCCATCTCTTCCTGTGTTAAAATGTCACTCACGATGAACACATAAAATCTGTCTCGTTATCAGGGATCCGTTTATCACCTGTAGATCAGCTGCCCCAGTAATTCCCATCTGTGTGCAACTACAAATGAGTTCTTACGCAACACAATTATTAGTAAACCGCTCCCCCCCCACCCCCCGCGGAGCGACACATCGGCCGGGTGGTCAGTTCGGCCTGTGGCTGAGTTCACCCAGTCGTGACCCCCTCGCCGTCAGGGTTAACAAGCCTCGTCTGGGCCGAGCAAGTGGCATTGACCGTTACTTGTGATCGGCTTACTAATCCACAGATTAGTGATTTCCTTTCCCTAATTTCTATACACCCTGTTTTCAAAGCTCAAATTTATTAGTTATTTGGAGAAAAATTGGTGCTGACAAACAGCACCAACATAGCTACTGTACAGCAAAACGGTCAAAAACACAATAAACCAATCCAACATTACACAACTGCATCATTGTAATTTTAAGCTCTCACAACACATAGCTTTTATTGTCATTCACGCAACATTGGAAGTGCTGGATAGAATTTTAGTACAGTGACTTCCACATATAACATTCCTTTGATTCATTGGACTGTGCTACAAATGATAGCTTATTGATTAAGTTTGAGAGTACCCGTTGCAGCCCAGGCAAGGTTGCACAAACTTATTAATCGATTGTAATGGAGGTTATATCTCAAAATCAAAGTTTACTATTCCAAGCTGACGCTATAAGCCGCTATGGATGAGAGGACTCCTCATGTCCGGCGTTGATGTGTGAATTGAGTTTTGTGGATAGGAACAGAGCCACATTAGAAGTGGTTCTATTCGGTAAGTATAAAAGCTACTCTTTTTAGTTCTTTAATGTCTTCTTTCACAGCAATAAATATTATATATTTTAGATTCTGCGCATTTGGGTGTATTAGCCGCAGACGGACACAGAGAAGCGCACCCCATCACTCACGCACGCACGCACGCAAACCCACCCATCCCATTATCTCCTGGCTGAGGATAATGAGTAGTGTGTACTACAAATTGAGCAGATGGTGTAGCTGGTGAGGAAAAGGAATGATGCTGCATCTGACCTGAACAGCAGCAGCAGCCTGTGTAGCTCATGATTGTTTTTTCCAGATTGACCTGTGTGAATCCACACGGATAATCACAGGCACCAGGATCAAGGATTTAGACCTCAGAGGGTTCCAGCAGTCATAACGCACGCGGCGGTCTCAAGACGATGCTGTTGAGCTCACCTCAGCTTAGCTCGAGCCAGCTGGGGGTTTGTCGGGAGCAGAGAATAGAGCGGGAGGAGCACAGAGTGATATAAAAAGTCTCCTAAAGGAAGGGAGTATCTGTCAATCTGTTCGTTCTCTCATGTCCCATGCAGCTCGGGCCACTCAGCCTCTCACGCATGGAATCACACTGTTCTTGTTCTTTGGCATTACTCTCATCGGACCAGCAGTTATGAGGTACTGTACATCTCCCACAGTGGAACAGTGAGACAACCCATGGTTGCTTTATAGGAGACAAGAATTAAAGGATGGAAAACACTTTCTACAAAACCGTTTGACAAGTCTTGTGATGAGTGCTTGATTGTTGTCATTGTTGAATCTTTCATGGGTGTATTAATACCATTCTATTGTAAGACATAAAACTATTCCATACCGTTCTTGGAGGCCCGAATGAGGAGTGGAAACATAACATATTTTTCAAATAAAGATAATGTACATTTAGACCTACACACAAACTACAGAAGTAAAGAACATAGAAAGTAATAAATGAACGAGGTAATACAGAAATTTAAAAAAAGATAAGATTTACTTTATAGTACAAGTTGCTTGTTCTACTGAACGAAAATATTGTGGGGAACAGTGTGTGGAGTGATCATTTCCTCCATGCACTGTAAGATTGGTGCGGTGGCGTGGCGGTTAGCACTCTCCACATGCTCTGGGGGTTTAGGTTACTTGGTGACTCTAAATTGCTTGACAACCAGTCCACGGTGCATCTCGTCTCTTGTCCGATGTCAGCTGGGATTGACTCCCGTCCCCGTGACCTTCTGAGGATAAGCGGTATAGAAGATGACTGACTATTGTTATCAATGCCAATATTTAGAATATTTAATTGCCCTGAAGAAATACAAGAATGATATGTTTCTGTCCATATTAAATCTGATTCTGGCGTGACTCAAAAGCTCAGTGAAGCCTGGAAAGCTCTTAAATGTTTACCCTCAATAGAATATAATATCTACAATGCAGAGACATTCATACTGAAATTTGCTTTCTCGGTTCCGATTGATTTTCGATGTGTAATTCGATCGTCACTGTCCGGCAGGAGAAGGACCAGTTTAAGCTCAAGCAGTGAAGCTTTGCTGGACTTATAATTCAGAGGTGGTACATGTGAAAACTCAAACATGCTGACTATCTTTTCAGCGGGGGACAAATAAAGTGCCAAAAAGCAACCCAGACGTCCGCACGGCCCCCAAGGACACTTCCACTCTTAAGAGGTAACCTCATTTATAAGTAATGGAACACCAACGCAGTCCCACGTGTTGCCAGAAACACACAAACCCACGCACACACACACACACGGCGACACCACTTATGCAGTTGTGAACTTGAGATTGACAGCTCTACGGCTAAAGCACTGCTTACTGCTGTTCTCAGCCACTTCCATGTGCGGCAACCCATTAACCTGCCCGCTTCACACCTTGTTAGCCAATCAGATGCTTTCTTTTTACTCCAAACACCGTGCTGTATGTTACTCTTATGGGTGACCTCAGGATGTGTGCATCAGAAATAAAGCTTTTAGTAATTATGAGTAGTATCAAATGCATGGGGGAGAATGTGACAAAGCTTATGCGGCGCTTATGTACATATTTGATGCAGTGTGCTCTTTGCACAGTGTCACGAATGTATAATTTAGAGCTGTTGGTGACCAACGCGTCAGCAGTTGCGGTCCGACAGGTGCTGCATTTCTCTGCTAAATACACACGTCTACTTCTGAGCGCCAGACTAGTCAAATCCTATTTTCATTACAGAGCCACTACATTTACAGGAGCAAGTCGCTCCATGAAAAAAGGTCAATTCACCGTCTCTTCCTCCTGCGCCTTTGTGCGTTGCATCCCCCCCCCCACCCACAATAAACACGGCCTTATTGTTTTGATTCTGCTCAAGTTTATTTATCCAATTCAACATGATCCTGGCAAGTCACCCAGCTCATTACAAACTGGCTTTGTGACACTGGCTCCGCTTCCGCCGTGTGCGCGCGTGGCCCTTCCGCAAATATGGCTCGGACAATAACGCATTTCAAAGATAACCAGTGACAACAATAACTGGGCAAATATTAGGTCCGTGCAATTAAACCTCTGCTTAGTTTTAGACATTTATTGTGATGGACCATGAAAGATCTTTGATCAAATTTTAAAAAATGAATGCTTGTTTGCGTATTAGGTCGTTCATCAGTCAAGGTGCAGGTGCTATAAACCAAATTGCCAGTCATTCTAATCCCTTCAGTGATTGAAACTCATCTGTACGTTTCACAGTAGTCCATCTAGTTGCTGTTTGAGAAAATTCACCAAAGTTCCAAAATTTCCACGCTATAGAGGCATGAGAAAATCACCTGTGGGACATGAATCTCTGTTGACATATTCAGTGCAATTCATACACAAATTTGAAATAATGTTCTTGTAGGAGGTTTACTTACTTTTAAAAATATATATAATATAGTACTGCCGGCATGGCAACTAGAATACACATTTTGTGTCTTCAAAGACCAGTCCAGGGATGATACTTATTCCCTGGATGATAATGCTGGTAAAAAATACTAGTTTAATCCTTAGTTAATGATATACCTTATCGGATAATCCTGCTTGATAAAGATTCTCCAAGGAGTATTCCATAATCCCCACCGTCAACAAGTCACTGGCTCCAGGGGAAAAAGCAGCAGAGGGGGGCTTCATCCAAAACCTTCCCTCTGCAGAGAAATAGTTTGATAAATGATTTGTTTTCTCTGCAGCAGGGTGGTCAAGTGCCTTCTATTGTTTGTTATCTCAATGAGGCTTTCTAATGCAAACATCACGTTCAGCCCTGCAGACGTGAAATGAAGGCAGAGGCGTGATCATGATGCTCTGGTTGCTCTCGTGGAAAGATACACTTTTTTCACCATTATTGTAAAAAACAAAACGATCAAATAAATTAAATTATTCCTCCCAGACACTCTTTGTGAGGGTATTACAGTATGGTGTTTGGTGCAGATTGCATTGCTGCCAGTCAAATGTCCTCTCATGTTACCGCGCGATGACGAGCCGCCTTCTACTCAGCGCAAACATCAGGAGTGTCATTTGATGACAGGGGGGCAGCGTCTTGTGCTGCATTAGGAGGCCGACTGGGCGAAGGCTCGCTCACCACACTATTTAAAGCTCCATTGCAGCGGTGGAGAGAACATCCTGATTACTCAGCTCATCCCACAGATACAGTAAGTACACCATGACTTCAACATTGACTTTGATGTTTGGGCTTTACTTCTTATTCATCTGGAACTACGGGGGGGGGGGGGGGGTATATGGAGGAGATGTTTTTTATTTTAGAAAAGTCATTTTCAAGTTTTAGAGCTTTAACTGGTGTTTCACTTAAAATATAAGTTTCAAAGTATTTGATGTGGTAGGATCAGAATCAGCTATTGTGAAGTTTGTTCACATCCAACAAGTGTTCAACCTGAGCACAGCCTCAATTACCCCATTAAATATGCTCTCGTTCATTTTTAATTAATCAATTAATACTATTATCACCATTGCGTTTTCATGTTCAATGCTCATCATCTAAACGTGATTTGCTATTATGAACCATTGAATAATCATTATAGGGATTCTAGGGTAATTCATTTTAATTAATTCGGCCTCTACCCTATAAGGTATCTGTCAAAATAAGAAGGGCACTATATACTGTTACATATGAACATTGTGAGTGTAAACCGATAAACGCCAACCCCTCATTGTTGGTAAATCTAAGTGTATCTATGACTTGCTTTTAGTGGTTTTGGAAATGCGCTTGTTGGTGGCCATTAGTGTGCTTCCTGTACAAAACAAATAACTCCCTGCACCATTACACTCCTTTATTGCTGGCACTCGAAAAATAATGCCATAGCTGACGTGTACATTGGGTCATAAGCAAATCAGAAAACAAATGTGTAGCATTGGACCACAGAGGAGGGGACGTGAGCTACTTCTGGTCCAGCGGAAGCTTTTCTTTGTGACTCATCATTCTTAGTGCATGGATCAACGTATAAGCAGCATCCAATTGTTGATGGATCATAAAGGAAATATTTACTCAAGCAAAGTATTGAACACATGGGTGAACTACATTGTAATGCATTCATTGTCTGCATCTGTACAGTCTGTAACACTAGACTGTAAATAGGGAACCGATGGTGCCAGTTCACCGTAGCCCAGACTACATGTTCACGAAAGAGCTTCGCTTCCCCTTTAAACTTTTTTTTCCTTATATTCTCCTCTGACCACTATTACTAATCGGCTGACCTTCCTCAGGAGAAGTGAATTAAACTGCTGGCGACCGCAGCGCACGCAGATTTAATGAGTTAATTAGAGTTAATGAGGAGGCGCTGTTAATGTAGAACGTCCATCCAGGGGAACCGACCTGTGCAACATTACTCAAATGTTTGTCGTCAATGATGGAGAGGTGCTTTGCATCAAGTGCGCGACGGAAGCAAAATGTTATTTCAACAAAGTGACTATCAACCTGGGGTGAAGCCGCTGTTTTGACCTGAGAAACGACTCCGATCAGTCACACTGAACACCAAAGGAATATTGCTGCATAAGGTCGAGGGGGATGCAATTTGCACAACAAAAATGTCATTTGTGGTTTGGCCTTTATGTTGACTGAGGGCCTCACGCAATACAAGTACATACAAGGTCTCTCTCATTCGTGCTCGCCAAGGATCACCGAAGGACACCTGGGACTGACTCAAACAAGCAGACCCCCTCCCCCCACACAGCTGCGAAGAACATAATTGCTTTTTTCTCTTTCAATAGAAGGACTTTAACCTCCAAACACTCGGCGGATCTGAATGTCCTTCCGGGTTAAACGCAAAGTCATCTGTGCCCATATCCCGTATGGTCGAGAGCAGCCAATGGCTTAAGGCCTCATCTGCCCTCTCAGTCACACGGCGTTGTATCCCTCTAGTAAAGCAGGTTTTACGAACTCGAGTTGTTGAAACTGCAGCGGGTTTGTTTTCTCATTTATGCCGTTGCATACTGCATATGGACATCTGCATCCTTGTGAGTTTGTATGTGTGTGTGTGTTATTGTGTCTAGACACGTGTCATTGTGGTCACCCTTCATGTCTCCACTGAGTGTCAGCTGAGTGATGAACTTCAGCAGGGAGGTGAACCGACAGACCAGCTGTTATACATATGTGATAGAGGAAGAGGATCCAGCCCTGGCGAGACTAAATGTATTCGAGGTGAGCTCGTCACCAAACTGTATGTATTTCTTAACTCCTCGGTGAGAATGTGTGTTTTTTAGCTGTACGTTCTCCCCTCTATGAGCGTTAACATTGTGGGGCGTGTCTGTGTGACGCCTCATCGGTCATCCCAACACTGTGTGACCTCAAAGAAAGTAATTGTGAGGAGCTGAACAGAGGCCGAGTGACAATGCGAGTGTCGCGCAACAATGTCATGTTGCAGTACTTAAACTGGCCTGAAGCTTGAACAAACAGAGACGTCATATTTGAATGAAGTACGGCGGTAACGCGACACTGACGGCTTCCGATGCCAATTAAGCGTCAACAGCAAGAATTCTCACTATCACATGATCTGTGGTGAAATCGGACACGGACTAATTGAAAAGTGGATTACAGGCTCTTCCCATCCTCACACTCCTACTGTATTACATCCCGCATTACTCTGTAGCTGGCGGAGAAGGGTGACCTGGCTCTCCTAGAGAACCTGGTCAGGAAGTGCCCAGAGGTCCTGATTGAGAAAGATGAATATGGGGCTATTCCCCTTCATCATGCCGCCGCAGGGGACCACGTCAACCTCATCCAATTCATCACCACCGTCATGGAGCCACAGGGTAGGCATGCCTCCACCATCGATCATAAGTTGCTCTCCACCAAAGGTGAAATATGTTTATTGTGAATGCTTTTAAAGTTTGAAGCTATATGAAGCAGTATGTAGGATAGTTACGTGTCAAAATGCTGCGTCTAAGTTGACTGTATCTGCAGCCTTATGTGTGAATGTGTGTGTGTGTGTGTGTGTGTTTGGGTGTGCATTTGCATGCGCTCTCCCAGACCTGAACAGCTGTGATGAGCAGGGCAACGTGCCGCTACACTGGGCAGTGGAGAAAAACAAGGCGGGGAGCTGCCGGGCTCTTCTGGACCTCGGGGCCGACCCCAACATCCTCAACACGGCCCTGCTCTCCCCTCTGCACCTGGCTATCTGCCTCGGACACAACGACCTGGTGGAGGTGAGAAGGCCCGGCTGAACCATAAACCCAGTGTGAATGTATAAAGACATGATGCAGGGAACATATGATAGACCATGAGGAAACCATTTTTTACCGGTTAAGCAGGAATGTGCAACCAGTTAACAGAGAAGTTCACAGTACAGGTGGGTTGAAGGATTTTTTTCTCAGTTGAATGTTTGGAACATAATTAGTAAACTCGTGAAGGCCTTGTTTTTATGAAAGGAAAGAGACTCACCAGTCCTTCGAACCCAAAACAATTTATACGTGCAGTCCACTGAATTACTCATTTAAACTAAGCTTCACTTGCTCCTGTAAAGCAACAAAGAATGATGTTCGTCTTATCTTATAAAAAGGGACTATAACTGCATTGTGTTGTGCAGCCCAGTGTTGGTCAATGCCAGTAATAAACCTTGACCATAGAAATATTGTGGGTATAAACCAGGATAGCACACAATCGCATCATTACATCACGTTTCTCAAACGCATCTAAAAAAAAAAAAAACCTGACACGATCGTCTTCTTGGAAAGACCTTGTCCCGTCTTCGCCATCTGGCTGCTGTTGATAAACTGACTCAGCTGCGGCATTTTGGAGGACAAACGGCGCCGACTTGTAGAGAGTTGAGGACACAAACAGGATGCAGCTCACTCACCGTGTTTTTACCTCTGCCCACTGTAGCTGCTGGTGTCCCACACTGCTACGGATTGCAATCTTCAGGGAGACCTTGGCAACACCCCATTGATACTTGCCTGCTCCCTCAATAACTTTGAGGCTCTCAACATATTGGTACGTACAAGAGTGATGCATTAAGGCTGTGTGTTCCTGCAATACCTGCTGAAGAATAACATTCTGTCTGCACGGAACAGATTAGGTGTAGCTGTTCTTTATGCTGCCCCCCCCACCCCACTGTCTGACAAACAATTGTCTCCTGTTTCTCTTCTTCTTCTCTCATCCATTCTCCCATCTGTCACAGATAAAGAATGGCAGAGCTGTGCTCTGCCGACAGAACAGGCTCGGCCATTTCCCCGTGCACGCGGCTGCCTTCGCAGGCGCAAAGAATGCCATGGAAATGATCCTGAAGGCCGGTACGACAAAATGACTGATCTATCGTCAAAAATACATAAAGTGCTGACAGTAAGAAAAAGCTTTTTACGAGGCCAAGCGGCAGATTAAACCGAGAGATGGAAAGGTACTGCTGACATTGAGCAGAATTAGCTATTTTGTACACAGGCCAGATGCCAAAGTGTGTTTATTCGCGGCAGGAGGTCCACTGGACAAATCTCGTGTTGATGGGAAAGAGTTAGTCAGAGCACCAAATATTTATGACGTTTTTGTATTTGCTCAGTCAGGGAATGAATGGGTATTCACATTTATATGCTGTTGGGAATTTACACTGGAGGTGCGACGCGAATCAGAAGAATTACTTACAACTTCCTTCTAGTTACAATGACAAAGGACCTAAAGATTGAAAGAAAGTCAAATATGAAAGGTAAAAATAGAGGCCATGTAATTGAAATGACCTTGAAAGCGTGTCAAATGTCAACAAGCATAACCAAAGAAACCTTCATCTGATTAAATTCTGGCCTGGCAGGAGAGAAGTATGGCCACCAGGTTGAAGCTCACATCAACTATGTAGACAAGTCCAGTTGCAGCCCCCTCCACCTGGCTGTCCGCGGCGGGAACATCGAGGTCATCCGCTTCTGCATCGCAAACGGGGCCAAAGTCGACCAGCAGCAGGTAGGGACGTCGCCAAAACGCACAACGCGTGGTGTAACACGTTGCGTCGATCCCCGGTTTTTATTAACGTTCTTCTTCAATTCATTTGCAGATTTGTTTCTCTTGCAATTCTGCATCACGTGATTCATAATCCCGCCGACTGCAATCATTGCTTTCCACTCATTTTGTTTTAAACCCGATCTAATTGAGCTGCACCTAAGAGGCATGTTGCTGGCAAAGGAGCGCAGCGCTGTCAGATCACGTCGGTCGCTACATGCCCATCGGGGAGCGAGCGTTGTGTTCACCTCTGGGGTGGTGGCCAGAAGTACAGCAGGAATAGGACAGTAATAGCTTCGGTTGGCTGAATTGATATGAAATACGCTCCACTTACGCTGTTGGGCTGAGTGGCGCGATCACTGGCCTCCTCTTGCCAGTCGCGGTTATCTCATTAAAGTTTTGTGTTACAGCCAGTGAGTCCGGGAGATACTTTGCTCATGTAACACTGAGGACGTGTGTAAGTGTGTGTCAGTGAGCACACACATGCATATTCATTGTGTTTTGATTTGTGTTCTGCTCCGTCTAACTCGACACGTCACAGCGTCTCTCTATGGAGTGGACGTAACCATGTTTGCCGAGCTCATAAATATTCATTTTCTTTAGTCGTATATCATCGCTCATAATGAAATCCACGTTTGATGTTGTGCAGAATGACAAATCCACGCCGCTTCACTTGGCCTGCACCCAGGGGGCTACTGAGGTAGTCAAGCTGATGTTGTCCTCCTTTCAACAAGTGGAAGATGTTATCAACCTAACGGATGGGGCGTGTCAGACCCCTCTCCACAGGTGGGCCACACTCATCTGCCATTTGACCATCTGTGTGTACATGAACCAAGCTGTTGTCTATAGCTGGTCTCTTTTTGAATTGTTGAACCATTAGCTTTCCTTTAGGGATATAAAGACATTGTTTTAATGTGCTTAACAATGCTTGTTTTCTTTGTATTGAACATACAAAATATAAGTTGGGAATTGATGAGTTTAGCGTAGGTGGATTTTGTTACCTTTGGAAGAAGCCAAGTTATTGGTTTCGCCTTATTTCCAGTTGTTCTGCTAAGCTAAACTAATCAGAATCTGTGTTCATAAATACATTGAATACAAATCAGAGTTGGGAGCAATTTATTGCCACATATTTTACGCACAGAGGAATTTGTCTTGATGATTGGTGCGCTATAAGAATAAAATAAGATAATAAGATAAGATAAAATAGCAGCAAAATGAAAACAATATAAACAGATAAAATAACTGTTCAGAGCCTGGGTTGGGCTATTGGACAAATGAGCTATCATTTTGGATGATAACAATTATAGAAATACATAATAAAGATTTGCTTCCCACATTGATTTGATGTAAAACTCAATTTGCGTCGGCACAGAAAGCAGCGTAGTAAGACCAGATACTGAGACAAGAGGAGCACGCTGAATAATTATTAAAGTTAGCTTATTGCAATCTTGCCTTCCAAAGTGGCTGTGATGTGTGGCCGGTTTACAACAACTGTGTTTACTTTTCCAGGGCTACAATATTTGACCACACAGAGCTGGCGGAGTACCTAATTTCTTTGGTAAATAAGGCACACACAAACACACGGGAGAACACGCCCAGCAGCTGTTTCGCACAGGACACTCCCGACATCCATATCAGGGACTGCGTAGTTAATCTCCTGCCATAAAGACGGCAATACAGCACTCTGTTTGCATCTGTGCTGAGGGCTGTGTCCGTTTCTCCCCAGATTCCATTTAGCAATTGGTTCATCTTGCCATTTAACTAAATTTGCAATTTCAAACACACCGCCAGACTCAAAGTCAAGGTGCTTAAAGGTGCTAAGCGTTGGTTTCAGACGATCGGTCACCATCTGCTGCTGGCCGTAGATCGTTTTAGAAGAACTGTGTTTCCAGGAAATAATGGGGCCCAACTTTAGCTCCTGCCAATCCCTTCTGTAGGCAAACAGTGGCTGCTGCAACAGGAAATAAAATTATCCACACTTAGTGTGTTTACCTTTTGAAATGTTGAAATAGGCCTGCAGAGATTGACAACCCCTGGTAGCCAAACACCAGCTAATTGCTTTGAGATGGTTGCTTGGCTTGTTGTTTGGTTTTAATAAGCTCGAGAGACCAATAAATCAGGCCATGTATCGGATGTAGTTTAGCCTGTTTTAATGTAGTGTTTTCTTTTAGTTTTTGAATGGTTGTGTGTCATTTCACTTGTTTGCTTATTGTTGAAAAAATATAATGTTCCGGTCCAAGATTAGAATTGCAAACTAATAAAACTAATGTTAGCTGTTGGAGTTGCCTGAAAACACACAACTCATCAGTGTTTCCAACAAACTTAAACCCATTTAATTAATTAATTTTATTAATGTACAATTGCATGTGCCACACGTGTCACGTTTGAAACTTTTACCTGTTCGGTAAATGAGTGTCTTCAAACCATACTCTGGGGTGCTGCTTATCTTCCCATGTCCCTCTTTGTTAGGAGAATTAATTCTAATTTGTTATTCCGTCAATCTGTGCTACATTTCAATCCGGAGAGACTTGTTGAAATTTGCACAATGCTTTATTATAACAGGTATAATATGATATTGCAAGTTGTTTGGGGCTTGGACTCCATCCTGCCGCAGGATAGACCCGGGGCCGGGATCTCGAGCCGAGACGAGGCATATCCCCCCCTTGGGAGTCCAGACACTGGTGGTGGTGGTGGTGGTAGAGCCCAAGTTGCACAACTCTCCTGCTATGCCAGGTTCTGATGTAGATTGGAGGTGTCAGGGGTGGTGGCGGGTCACCTTTGGAGCGTGCTGAAATGACAACTGACAGCACAAGAGAGGAGAACAGTTTTTAACGTTTGCCTGCCCCAATGCGATTGGTTTACGGTAACGACACCCACGTCTGATACTACCCGACCCCGCCCCTAATCAGCTGGCCGTGCGCCCCCAGGGAGAGAGGAGGCCACCAGGGAACGGCACAGCCTGTCCAGTCTTCCTGACTGAATTTTCGCCTAAGGTTGATTTAATGCGGCCATTAATGATGTTCAGGTGCATTCTCTTCTCAGGGTGCAAAGGTCAACAGCACTGATTGTAAAGGGAACTCTCCCTTGCTGCTGGCTACGAGCTGTGGAGCATGGAGAACTGTGGCTCTGCTTCTCTCCAAAGGTGACGTTCTGTACTGTACTCCAGCACGAGTAGATGATGTATACGTGCACTCACGTGACCATGTTTATGTATACCAGGGGCCGATGTCAACGTTAAAGACAGATGTGGCTGTAGCTTCCTTCACCTGGCCCTTCTCCAGCCCAAGGGTCTGAAAAACCTCTCACAAGAAGTCCTACAGGTCATTTAATTAATTTATGGTTCATCAAATGCACTGCATGTTCATCATCATCAAGACAGCAATTTGATTATTATAATGCCTTTAATCGATTTGCCTCGAGCCTGCATTACGCCCGACTGATGAGGCTCATTATGCTCTCACTAAGCCAGATGATCCTTTAAAACATTTGTAAGCCTTACCTAAGGCTATAATGATGCGTACAAATTGAATCAGTCAAGGCTGATGTATTTACACTGGCTAGTTGTTTACAGAAGGTACTGTATGTGAATGGGATCTCTCTGCGTCTCAAATACTGTGACCCATTATTACTCATGTGATTGCAGTGTATGTATGTGTGACCCTTTATCTAGCGTGACTGCACACCGTACTAAAGCGCTCTATTTTACAGATATTGTTAGACATCACAACGTAGGAATATATAAATGTCTTTGTAATGTGTCCTACTTTTAGCTGGGCAGTGTGACGGCCCTGCTCAGCTGTGAGGATAACGAGGGCTGCACCCCTCTCCACTACGCCTGCAGACTGGGTATCCACGACTCGGTGAAGAACATGCTGGGCCTCTCGGGGCAGGACGGCCTGGCTTGCAAGTCGAAGGACAAGAAGTCTGTGCTGCACTTTGCTGCTCAGTGAGTTCGATTGGTCCCACAGGGCCAATGACTTCCCATTACAATACTGATAGGACCGGATTTTACCTCGAAGTCGCTCTAAAGTCTCCAAATTTGATCAAAGAATTGCCAGAAATGTCACTGCAGCTGAACAGCGTGGGACGCGGTGCACATACTATTTTCCTTAAATATTATATTATAATATGTTATAAAAGCTGCAGACTTTGGAGCAAATACTTTCTTCAAAACAGATTTAGCTGTATTATTATAAAGGAAAGGTAGCCAGACATCTTCATTGCCTCCATAGCGAGTGTTAAGTATCGATCAATGATAAAATATTATTAAGTGTAAAAACATGAATCAAAAATGGATCTTATGAGGACTTTGACTTACGATCTTCCTCGGCCAATGCTTTTATCCCTGTAATCATTCAGATGAAAAATGAACAATGTGCCTACATCTAAAACTGTTTCCTCACTGCTCAGGTGTTTTAATCTCGTTAGCAGTTTATGTGCTCAAAGCCCTCCGATTATTAATTGAATACTCATAACTCAGTAACCATAAAGGAACTGTCACAAGAATGGATTTCAATTAGAGAGTCACATATGAAGAAACGTCCCTAATAGTGTGAAATGAGTGGACATTATTGCTATGGATTTCTCTATCGTGTACGCCTATTTCATTAGAACTGGAGGACAAGTAAAGGCCGTGCTATGATATCATACTTTAGACACCTCATTCGTTTTCCCCAGTGGTCCCACTGCACCAACACTGCTGACCTTCTTAAAAGGTTCAGAGACAAAGACAGACCATAACAATATGTCACTTCTGTTTATGTCCTCTCGCTATTCCAAGCACTCTTTGCCATTAACAACCACCCGACCGGCTTCTACCTATATTTTACCTACAGCTTCATGCCCTTGTTACAGCCACTTTTCGCGTTCGTGCTGTAACTGCCCCGGACGAAAAGCGTTTTTACTCCAGAGATGAACAGATCGTAACAGTGAAAGAAAATCTCCTTCCACCTACTGCTTCTCCTCAACCTCAACCCTCCCTTCTTCTAAGGTACGGACGCATCAATACATGTCAGCGATTACTGGAAACCATCACGGACTCTCGTCTGCTAAATGAAGGAGACGAGCGGGGCCTCACGCCGCTTCATTTGGCTTCAAGAGAGGGGCACACCAAGGTGGTACAGCTGCTGCTGCGCAAAGGGGCTCTCTTCCACAGGTAAGACCGTGTGCTTGTAGAGGAACACATGCACAAACATAGTACAAATACTGTAAATATACTCTACGTGCTGAAGAACAGTGTACCATGAGTTTGGAGGTCAAAAGCCTTGGCAGGAGATAGACTGGTGTCAGTAATCCTCAGACTATTTATCTGCTCCACAATCCTTAGAAATAGATGAATGAGTGGCAGAAATCATTGCCGTGCTTCCTGTTTACAGCGATTACAAGGGCTGGACTTGTCTGCACCACGCTGCATCTGCAGGATACACACACACTATGGACATTCTCCTGTCAGCCAATCTCAAGTTACTGGATAAAGTAGACGAGGACGGGGTATGAACTACTATCATTTCCTTCTTTGATAACATCATTCAAATCCGTAAATTTCCGAGGGGGCTACTTCAACGCTAAATGCAGAGTATTGTCTCCCGTTATGTGCCGATGTACCAGAACACTGCACTCCACATCGCAGCAAGAGAGGGACATGTGGCCGCAGTCAATCTCCTGCTGTCCCGCGGAGCGGAGCTCACTTTGAACAAGAACAACACTTCGTTCCTCCACGAGGCTCTGCAAAATGAGAGAAAAGATGTGGTCAATGCATTGATTGACAGTGACAGGTATGTTATTGAGACCCCAAAAAATCTTCTTGCAGGTGCTTTCGTTGTCGTTCACTGGGTTTCTCTTTGTAAAAACTACCACTTGGTAAAAAGTCCACAAATTGTCTAAACAGGTCATAGAGAATTTGAAGATGTTGTTAGTAAGTTAAATGAAAAACTATTTGCTCAAACTTTTTTTTTTTCCTCTTCCAGATGTACCGAAGCATTGTTGCTGTTTAATCCAGACTCTTCCCAGCAAAATCCCATCCTAGAAATGATTGAATTACTGCCTGAGACGTATACGGTCTGTCACTGGCAAAAAAAAATGAAAAATCATCATAGCTCGTCTCTTTCTGCAGTTATTCTTTTGTTGTGGTTTAGCATTTTTGTAATCGGCTACTCAGTAACTACATTTTTTTCTATTCTTCCACAGCATCTATTGGACTGCTGTGTTAAGGAATCTGATGATGATCGCAACAGTCCTGACTATCATGTAACACACCAAAACTACCCACTGAAGTCCACATTGTATGAAGTGTATGCTAAGCGAAAAAAATGAATCAATACTTTATATGTTTTAGATTGAATACAATTTCAAATGGCTCCAAGCTCCCCTTGCACTGAGGAAGTTGACCATGATCAAGACCATTCAGCCACTAGCTGCACTCAACGTAAACAACTTTTACTTTTTTTATTATGAATTATGTTGCTGCAGCGGAATGCATGATTGAGAATGTTCTGGTTAGGATGCTATGAGTCAATGTAAAGAAACTGCTTTAAGCTTCTGCTTAAGTCCCTGCTCGTTTGTCCGTCATTCTCCTCGACCCCAACGAGGTGTCCAGAACGGAGAGAAATGTTAGAAACACTTTATACCAGCGGAAGTCATCCGACGTTATGCCTGCAATGAGATGCTCGTACATTTTAATCGTCTACACTGTTTCTTACCATTAACAGCAAAGTGCTACTCCTTCTGCAGGCGATGGTCCAGTACAACCGCATTGAACTCCTCAACCACCCTGTCTGCAAAAAGTACCTGGCAATGAAGTGGTGCGTGCCTTTACAGACGGCGTAAAAGAACATTTCTGAATGCACCGAATTCAAATGGATTATTTACTTTGACTGTTACTCCTGCAGGTCCGCATATGGGAGCACGGCCCATTTTCTCAACATGTTCATGTACCTGTTAGGCCTGCTGCCCCTCACTAACTTGATAGTGAATCTGAGGCCTGCTCTGAACACCACTGATCATCACGTCACCATGGTGGAAGTATCTTTCTTTGAGGTACTATTGACCTTGATAATCTATATCGAATAAGTTGAAGCTCCGTCTTTGCGTGCGTATGATTTATGTTCCAAATGCATCAACCTTTGTCTTGATGATTCTATTCTTAAATAAGATACAGTAAATCTCAATATCCTTCGATTCACAGCAACACATCTTCTTGTCCTTCTGCATGGTGATGGTCTTGGTCATGAACGTCTACTCCATAGTGAAGGAATTGGTGCAGATCTCACAACAGGTAATGTTCACAACGTGAACTCGTAAATCTCCTCAGCACCAGGTCTGTGTGGACACATTAGCAATCAGGCGTGATGCATGAGCCGGGTCAGTGAAACGCCACCGTCAGGATGGAACCTCCACACTTTACTGACGCCGGGTTCATCACAACTAACAGATCTTCCACATTGGATTAGGAATATGAAATATTATAAAATGAGGGGGCGGCACGGTGGCGTGGTGGTTAGCACTGTCGCCTCACAGCAAGAAGGTCCTGGGTTTGATTCCGCCCAGTGGCCTTTCTGTGTGGAGTCTGCATGTTCTCCCTGTGTCTGCGTGGGTTCTCTCCGGATTCTCCGGCTTCCTCCCAAAGACATGCTCTGGGGATCAGGTTAATTGGGGACTTTAAATTGCCCGTAGGAGTGTGAATGGTTGTGTGTCTCTGTGTAGCCCTGCGATTGGCTGGCGACCAGTCCAGGGTGTACCCTGTCTATCGCCCGAAGTTGGCTGGGATGGACTCCAGCCCCTGTGTGCAGGATAAGCAGTTTCACGATGGATGGAATATTATAAAATGTTGTTTGCATGATTGTTTAAAGAGACCGACGTAAACACATTTTTGTCCTCTTTAGGCGGGAGGACAGACATTATTTTGGTTGGTGATAGCTGGTCCACAATGTATTCACATAGAAGTAGATGGACCATCTGAAAGCTGTTGCCGAAACCCTAACACTGTGCAGCTAAATATTAATTTACTGCAGCTCGACGCTATTGGTCATTTATCCGTAGTTACCAACCTGCACAAAACGTTTTGCTTTCGTTAGGTGCTTAATCAAATTTTACGAAGGGTTTAGAACATTAGATATAACAGGGCCGTGAATACTTTAGTCTATGTAGTGGCTACTCCTGCACTCTGATCTTCAGCTAGGTGTAGGAAAAGGTCGGGAAAAGATTATAAACTAGTTGTTTAGATTCAGGAGAAGATTTTAAAATACTTCCAGTTCCTTTTATTTATTCTCACCATGATGTCATGAACAGTAGGTCAACAGAGAGAGAGCAGAGCAAATGTCCACTGCACCAGGATAATAAATCCGATCAAATCTATGGGGCTTCTCAATAATCTGGTAATTTGCCATTGGATCGTAGACCAACCTTCAGATAATTTACAACGAGATGGGCTCTGCGCAGAAGAGGTCCCTCTGCGTATTTAGACATGAATGGCTTTTTCTAACTAAATTAAAACACCAAAAGTCTTGGTCTTCAAAAGATAGCTATTCATATGTTATTCCATTGCTGCCAATCGGATGTTACACAAAGTTCTTTTGAGTAAAATACTGTCCAGTCGAGGCAAACATTTGGCAGCAAACGCTGTTGAATTAAATGTTGTTAAAAATTTGAAATGTTGTTGGTTGCTTTATTTGTGGATTTTTCTTGATTCTTCTTTTCTTGTCACTAAAAGCGCTGGAATTACTTCAAGGACTATTCCAACCAGAGTGACTGGCTTTCTGCAGTCTTTGCTCTTTTGTTCATAATCCCCACCATGCTAAATGTAGAGGGTTCTTTGCACTGGCAAGCAGGGGCCATGGCGGTTTTAACCTCCTGGACTGGATTTCTTCTTTACCTCCAGAGGTACTGTTCACTGACTTAATACTTAAACATGATTTCTTTTTTTAATGACACAAAGAGGCAACTAACTGGTATAATCTCCTGTTTCTGCAGGTTTGAGGGAGTTGGAATTTATGTTGTGATGTTTTGGGAGATCATGAAGACCCTGGTTCGTATCGTGATGCTCTTCATTTACCTCGTGTTGGCATTTAGTTTGGCGTTCTATGCTCTCATGCTAGAACAGGTAAGTTTTTGCTCAGCTCATCTTCATGCTATTGGCTAAATCACATAGCAATGTATACAGGTGGCTTTATCCTCTTGCAAAGCTAAGCTAACTGGCTGCTGGCCACACATATTCATTCCACAGACACAAACACGGTTTAAACTGATGTTGGCATTAGAAAATATGGTATTTTTGGCCTGGAACCGAGAGTTTGAGGCGGACTAAATAAACAACAATAACAGCATTTTATGGAAAAATAAATTAAGCTTTGGGGCATTAGAAAATAGAAATCAAACGAATGCATTTTTCATAAAGCATTCATGAACATCTTACCTGAAAAGCGGATCCAGCATTTAACTGTCATGAACAAAGCCTGTATTCTTTTTCACCTTTAGAGAGAGTTTGACAGCGTACCGCTGTCTGTGATGCAAACCTTTGTGATGATGGTCGGGGAGCTGAACTACCAAAGCAACATCCTGGGCCCTTATCAGCAGAACGAACTTCCCTTTGGCGTCCTGACTTACTTCATTTTTGTGATGTTTGTTCTGCTCATGCCGATCCTGCTGGTGAACCTGATGGTGAGCTTGCTCCGACAGCCTGTCTTTACCGTTTTCCTCGACCTCTCACAGACATTTATCTCCCACAAAAAAAACTGAAAGTACATGGTTCTTACTATTTTTTTTTTACTTTTGTTGTAGATTGGTCTGGCTGTTGGAGACATTGCTGAAGTACAAAGAAACGCAGCCTTAAAAAGAATCGGAATGCAAGTGAGTACTGAAATCCTGTGTGTGGTTCAATGTATGTTACATTATCATCGTTTGTGCCTTCGACTTGATGGACAAATAACCACACACAAGCGCAGCATTTATGACGCTGTGGTATCTTGTGCTTTCCGACACCAGATCGAGCTGCACACCGCTCTGGAAGACAAGCTGCCTTATTGGTTCATGAAACGTGTCGATAAACGCAGCCTTATCATCTATCCGAATCGTCGCTGCTCCAAGGTCGGCCAAATATCTGCCTAAATCAGACACTTTACAGAGGCTGCAGTGATCGGTCTCTGGAACTAATGCCCTCTCAAACCTTTTCACCTGCTAACAGAACTTCATTAGGCAGTTCTTCACAGGTGAAGACGATACAAATGATGTCTGGAATCGACTGCAGGCCCAACCACAGAGATGCACCCTAGTAGAGAACGAGCTCAGAAAGCAGAAATTTAGGTAAAGCTCTCAGGGTTGCGCATGAGAATCACCTAAGAGTCAAATATCTATTCCCCTGGAATCATAAACTGTATATCACTGAGATGACGGAAATGTTTGTAACTGTTAATGACTCATAAGAAGTTCAACGGTCATGATGTAGTCAATTAGTCCAACAATAGTTTATGCATGAGCGGCCCCTGGTGGCTCAACTTTAAATGAAAACTATCCGCAGGCCACATCTGTGACGTGTTTGTCCTCAGGATGAAGGAGATGTCATGCACGATGGAGAAGCAGCACAACCTCCTGAAGCTCATCATCCAGAAGATGGAGATCAGCTCGGAGGCCGACGAGTACGATGGCCCTGTCCACGTCAGAGGCAACACGGCGCCGAAGTTGAGGCAGGCCAAGCCGAGAAGTCATGCCGCGTCTCGGTGGGTCCCGCTGATAAAGGCCATCGAGTCCAAAGGAAACTGAAGCGGATGGAACAACTAAATCATCTCATTATAGCAACGATTATATACAAAGTTATTTATCACAACAGTTTTAAAAGTATAGATATAAACGGTAAAATGATGTTAGTACTTGACTATTGTAACACTCTATTGCATGAAACGCTTTGAAATGGAGGGGCCTTAACTATTGTGTGAATGTGTGTATTTGACCTACTGATGAACAAATGCATTGAGTCATTCTGTGGCGTGTGTGTACGTTGCTGCCATGTGTCTCTTGTGCACAATATGTGGCTGCCTTAGAAATGCCTTAATGTGTCTTTTTGTTGCGAGGACTAATTAAACGTTGTTAAGTAAATCTTCTGACTTTAAAAATAAAAGAAAATGCCACGTTAGCTCATGACTTCTGATTTCTTCACCAGTGTCCCACACGCCAGCTTTAGGCCTGGCTTTAGTAGCAATCATGGGAATCACAGCGAGTTGGGAGAGAAACAGGGAGGCCTCTGACATCATGAGCTTGCACCTGTCTCTCTGCTTCTACAGCTCGGGGCTCCGACGAAGGTCACGACCCCTGAGAGTCTTTGCGGATGGACAAATGCGAGTTCCCCCTTCAAGTCCAGTTTGAAGTAATATTTATTACTATCAGCCCTGAATTCAAATATTTAGAAGGAAAAAATAATATCACCATCAACGACACTGATGTTCTGTTCAGGACATGATGTTTTCTACCTCCACAGAACGACCAATGAGCACAAATGTATTTGATCAACCTGCTCCACGCTGACAGTAAATCACGCAGCAGTTTGGGACATGTCACATAGCTTATACCGTTTTGGGGTAATTATTTAAAAAAAAAAGAAGACGACAGATTGTGAATTTGAAGTAAATCCAGCAGCAGATTCCCTTAGCTTGCACTTTCAAGTTCATCATTTGTCAGGGGCGCAGTGACAGAGGATGAAATGGCAGCTTGCCTGAAGCTCTGACCGTCCTAGCAGAACTTTTAACTGTGGGATGCGTTGGAACGTGTCCACGGATTGGGGAGCATTCTTGCTCTGTGAAAGTTTTAGCATGGAACATCGCGAAACCCTTTAAAATCACATTGACTTTAAACACCAAGCAAGTACATTATGCCAAACAAAATCCAGCATGCATCTCAGCTGCAGTTAGGTAATTCTTGGCAGAGTCTTGCTATTGTCATACAAAATTTCACAGACTATGATGGGTAATAATTTACAGGGACCTGGGAATATTTAAGAGGGTAAAGGGGGTCTCTTTTATGTTCTGCACAGAACTTTCCATTTATTCTTACTCATCTCCAAACACCTTCCACATTACTACAAAGATGTGCATTATAAAGTGGCGAACCCAAAGACTACAACAGTTCGGTACAAATCAAATACTGCCTAACCACTGATAATCACGGTGCTAATAGATTGAGGCTCTGAAAAAAGTCTGCAGTATACATAAAAAAGAAAGGCACAAACAGCCAAGTAAAGAATGTTTAGGATACCACGGGCATGGAGATGGTGCCTCTTCGCCTCTGCCACACCCACGTCATGCCAATGCTCCAGATGTCATGGGAACGGATAACAGCTGGTGCTGGTGCATGCAAGGCTGCGTGTGAAAGGTTGCCCCAGCTGCAGAAACCCAATCCCTCTGTGAAACCAGCACAGGATTAAACACTTTTGATAAGGTCCTCAAAACATTTCTATTACCAAAACACATCTGTGGAACCGACAAAGTTGGGGAACGTTTAACTATATTTGTGCATTTTAAAACCGTTGCAAGGTGTTGCCTGTGTTGTTATAGGAATAAAACCAATCAGATGGATACTATGCGTGTGTTGAAAACAAACCAGAGACATCATCCAAGTCATGCATAACGTATGCATCTTCCAGCAGATTTACCAATAACAACTTCAATCAATCATTTGCAGGGTTGGATGTTATTACCAGGCTGCAGATGCCCTATTTGTGTCTTTAACAGTGTACATGAGGAGACAGAGTTGTGGTCTAACTGAAGTCATGGCTTTGAGGAAAAGGGGGAGGAGAAATGTTCAGAAAAAAACTGCAGGGATACCAAGTCCAGGACACTTAAATCGGAGGAGTAGCCGAGCGAGCAGTCATGTTTCAGTGTCAGACAGATCTGCACGGGTCAAACTTCTCAACCTGCGGCGGTTGGTAGTGTAGTTTTTGTGAGGACAGGTTGCAGGGTGACCTAATGGGAATTTAAGTTGTGATTAGAATATCCGCTCCTTTTTTTTTGTCACCTCTGTCCCTGTAGTGTCACTCGTGTCAACAGGTGGAGCCTCGGCCATGTCCACCGGCTCCGCTGCAAGTGATGCCGAGGACGACGAGACGTGCCGCGTGAGGACGTCCACCTCGCTGAGGAGCGCGCGGAAGATACCCTGCTACAATACCGACCGCTTTTCAGACGAGGAGTTGGAAGATGACGATATGGAGGGGAGGAACAAGGGTGATCGCAAACTGTCCAGGGCGCAGCAGCAGAAGGACGCGCGGCAGACGCAGAGGAACGCGGCCAACGCCAGGGAGAGGTCGCGGATGAGAGTGCTGAGCAAAGCCTTCTCCAGACTGAAAACCAGCCTGCCCTGGGTACCAGCGGACACCAAACTGTCCAAATTGGACACGCTTCGACTCGCCTCGAGCTACATCTCTCACCTGAGACAGCTTCTGCAGGACGACCGATTCGAGCAAAGCTTCGTGCACCCAGTCAACCTGGTACGGAGCTGTTGGGATGCTTTAAAAGGGGGGATCTCTCAATCTGCATGACCTACCAAGATAGACTAGGTCAACTAATCCCAAACCACAGCATTAGCGTTTGACTTTTACATTAAAATGTTGGATGTGTTTATTTATTCCTAAAAAACCTGTTGTCGTTTGCTTTGACAGACATGGCCATTTATGATGACGAGCCGATCTGAAGACAGCCAAGGCATCTCGCCCCCTGTGAGACTCTGTGGGGCAACAGCGTAGGACCCCCCCTCCTTCCATCATCAGCTTGTGTTCTTGCAGACAATATGAAACCATCCCGTCCACCTCTTGTCCCCCTTAATGTCGCGGGCGATGACTTTGAACTCAAATCCAACTTAAGTGTTGCAACCCTGCGGATCCCGTATCTCAGAATGTGGGAACAATTAAGACTTGAAGTTGTTTTGAGATGTAATTTGTTGTGTGCATGATAATAAGTGTTATTGGCTGGGCCCGGAACGGCAAAATACTCTAAGAACTCAAATGCTGTCTGTCATTTTGAGCTGACTACCTGAGGAGCTAAGTTGCGCAGAAGGATTCTTCAATATTTGATCTCTACAGTATTTATTACATTTGTGATATAATTGTCTTTTTTCATTTCAGATAAACAAAATACGGATAATGTCCGTCTTTTGTCCTTTGTTGTATACAGATTTCAGATTTGGATCATTTGCTTTTTCATGTTTCATGTTTCACAGCCCAATGTCATGTGGATTAAAGTGCTCAGTAAATGAATCTTTATCTTGTAAAAATGTCTGTAGAAGATGAAAATAACAGTGAATGTAATACTGAATCTCAGTTTTCTGATTTTTACAAATCTTTTCTAGTTTCTAGCTAAAAAATACATAGCATTGCAAGGGTTGAATGTGCAAATATCTTAAATACCCATAAAAAGTTTGACACCAACTTAATTATCTGCAGTTTTCTGTGTTTATTTATCGGATCAAACTTTTCGGACCACATCTCTAATAGGCCTCTAGAGGTCTGTTCATATTTCCCTCCAAACAAAAGAAAAAACTTCACGAAGCAGTGGTAAAAAGTTCAGGGAAAAACAGAAGTTCACACAAACCCCCGTCACACACACACACACACTTACAAACATCCGCAAATAGCAGACAGAGAATAATGGCCAGTGTTCTCTTGAGCTACGACTCCTTTTATTCAGTAAATCCCCCTGAACGACGTGAGTACAGATGGATGGAGATCACCTCCCCCGGGGACACACACTGACTAAAGTGCTCGGGATGAAGAAAGAGACGCAGGGAGTAGAAAGAGGAAGAGTTTTCATCAGGTCCTGGTTCAGTCGCAGCTGTTGCCTTGTTGGGAAGTTTCCCATAACTCTAAACTGCTCTCCTGGGAGACAGCAGCCAGTGTCCCAGACCCGGACAGCTAATGAGCGGCCTTCTCACACTCAGCCCGCCTCCGTTCTCGCTCCATCCAAAACGTGGCACGGAGAGAAAGCCACCAGCGCATGTGCCCACAAAATTGAGCTGCCATCAATCAAAGCATGCGGCATGTCCACAAAAACGTAGGTGCTTACAGTGCACCGATCTCACGTCTCTGTGACCGAAGCTCTTGTGTTTCGGCCGGTGCCGAGGTGATGGACGCGTGTCGCTGTGGCTCCGTGGTGATACATGAGTGGCATCTGGTGGGGAGGAACGTGAACAGCAAACCCCACGCTGCACCGCAGATTCAGCTGAGTACAAGGGGGTAAAACAATTAACTGAGGTTCAGCTAATGTCTCCTAATGTTGAAATGGAGTACAGCCCTTTAAGGGAGGATTCAAGAGAACTGTTTAAATCTTATGTTGGGAGGAACGTGCAGTTTCAATGAGTTAACTCCTCCTGTGCTGTAAAACAAGACTCCTTTTCACAGATTTTGTCAATCAAACCTAGTACAAATCTGTTCATTTGCACAGGACAGGAACTATTCTAAAGTGTTGATTGTAAATGTACTAAATAAGTAAAATGAAGTGCATTAAAACGTGCCTAACTGAGGGTTTGACCATTATAGTGTGCTAAAGCTCAACTCTTTCCCTCTTACATTAAACAGGTTTAATGGGATTCAAAGGTTTGAATAGAAATATGAACTCATAAATCCTTAAAGAGAGCATTACTTTACATTCACTGCAATATCTTTTATTTTTCAGCAGAGGGCAGGATTTCCTCACAATGTAAAACAGTTTTCTGGATGTGTATGTTTGGATTTGAGAGGACTTACCAGTAAATTCATTTTTCTGATTTTTTAAAAATGTATGTCCACCAAACATACATTTTTTAGTTACATTGTTTTTCTTCGGGGATTTTTATCCACAAGAACTAGAAGACATCAATAGTACAGTTTTCCTTTCCATTTAACTTTACTTTCCACACAGAAACGTTCTTGTCTCTCCTTTTTTTCATAATTTTTTTCACATTAAATTTATTCAGGTGGAACACATTGCTTTGAAGACCAGTTGCATCGTCAGCTCAGCATAATCCGACTTTTTCTTTCTTCTTCTATTTTTTTTCTGTACAACTGAAACATTTTTTTTTGTTTGTGGAAGAATTTCCATGAACAGGAAGGAACTGTAGGTCCAAAGCCAACATCAGGGGGGTTCAGTGAGGATAACTTCAGGGCTCCCGGCCTGCAGGAATCCAGCCCGGACGCCGTGAGCTTTCCAAACCCACTTTCGGCATGTTTGTTATTCAATATCCAGTCACTCAATACCACTAATGAGAAAAGGGATATGTAAATCCTAAACTATTTTAAATCGCGTTTGCCTAATGTATACAATCCCTTATGGGAAGATTACTCCCCCTGCTGCGATCCAGGCTTTGTTTAGAAATAACATTCTTTCCAGGTATGAACACATCGACACATGAACCCGAACTGTCGTCGTAAAAACAGAAATTGGCTGTTGATTTTCTACAAATTGCCATGAATGGAATCATCACTGCAGGACTATAATGTATTTGGTTTGTTTTCTAGCTGATTACCAGCTGTATCCACACTTTGATTTAGTGTGTTAGACGTTTGTCTTACTGGAGGTCACTTACTCATTAGGTCTTTCTCACCATGTAAGCAGTACTTGATTTTTTCAAACACATTCTTTGAATTTTACGACTACAAAAATATCTGACCTTTTTTCTCTCATTGGGGCGAGCCGCTTTTGTTTCTCCAATTAATGCAATGAATATCCTCACTGATAAGGCAAACTAAAATATGTGATATGAAAACAAGCCAGGCACCAACAAATCCCACGAGAGAAGACCGAAACCAACCGAGTCGTAGTCCGTCAATTCTTTTTCCACCTCCCAAGCCACTTAGAATTTAAGTACTAAACAATTCAAATTGTACACTCATACAGTTTGACTATCACTTCCTAAAAGAAGCTGTGCATTCTGATAGTTTGCCATGTGCCACACGGACTGGAGTTCATTTGTAGGAGAATACTTTCAGCCACAGATTTAAAAAAAATTTTTTTTTGCACTGCTGCATTTCTAGGAACAGCACTAAATAAACTGCTCATCTAATTTAGGAATACGTCTCTGTTTGCAACGATGCGGGTAATAACAATGGAAGTCCGTGGCAAAGCGGGAAATAGCCAGAACTGCTTTTGGCTACGCAGACAAGTCATGTTAGTTTTGGTCTTATCATTAGATTTCATGACAATAAGACGAATATTGAATTTCAGCCTTATCGTTAAAGAACACAATTATGTCAACGTGAAGTCAGGCATAAAAAATACAAATCAAATGTCACACTGTTTTCTCCGGGATGTTGCTAATTTGCTGCTGGTACAGACATCGTGCCCCCTGGTGAGTAAGTGTGAGACAGAGGGGGGAGAGAGAGAGAGGCAGGGAGACGGAGATCTGACTTCCTGTTACTCTGCGGAGATGACACGCTCCTCAGTCGGATAGGTGATTGGGTTACAGTGCGGGACTGGCAGCCTCCTCTCAGGAGAGAATGGAGGCTCTTTGTGGCTGGATGAGCCGGACAATCTGAAAGGGAAGGTCGAGCCAAAACGGGGCGGATGGGGGCTGTGGAAGGCGGAGTGGAGTGGGGGGGGGAAGGAATTGATGCAAAGGGAAGATGTATAAATTGGCGCGGAGGGGTATGAGGGGGCGCTGGGAGGGGAAAGGTTGACGAACACGGCAGTCACCCTCTCAGCCTCGTCCCCCGCGCTGTTTCGTTGGCTGAGCTGCTTGGTGGCAGAGCCGCTGCCAATAGGAGCCCACGAGAAACCGATATATGTGTTTGTTCTCAGGGCATGTGGAGCCGTCCCAGTCCCCCCCTGACCTATTATCTTGTCCTCGCCTTTCTGTCTCCGTCACAAAGGGATTAACACCACTAAAGGTTCTTCCTTGCAGACTTTCAGATATGGAAGGTGCGAATGTAAAATCATATTCAGGTGCATATAAAATTCCTTTCTTAGCTTTTAGCGGATAAGAACTTTGTCGTATAGATTCCTTTGGGGCAATATGAGTTCTGAGTTGGCTCTGGCGTTGCTCTGTAGCCCCCCCCCCTCACTCACGCCGGTGGCATATTCTCCCCGAGTTCATCTTCTGACAATGGAGATAATATTTTCCCTCCACAATGGCTCCCAGTCTGTGCTCTGGGCGAAGGCTCAGCGGGTTTTCCTGACCCTGTCAGAGAACCGGCCCAGTGGAGAAATGAGTCCCAAGGTTGCTTAAAGGCCCAACCTGTCAGCGGTCCGGAGGGATTAGCCATTCACAGCCTCCGTATTGTTCTCCGGGCCACAATAGGCCGCATGGGGCCCGGCCCCTTTGTCATCAACTCTGTTTTGAATTTCTGGTGGGGCAACAAAAGTGTAACACACCTGCAACTATGGATTAGAACTTCTTTCAACCCTCTTCTTTTTTTCTTTCTGACACATTGCCCGAAGCATTGTTGGCCACATCAAACGTGATCTTTTGTACAAAAAAAAAAAACAAGCTTTTCCCAGTCACCACCCAGAGCAAAGGTGGACACAACATATTAGTATTATTTTCCGTTTTTATGGTGTAGTTTTGTTGTGACGTCGTGTTTAAATGCTTACAATGAAAAGTGTGTGTTGAAGTAATTGTTTTACAGGAGTGGATCACTCAATCAAGCTGCACACAAATGTTTTTACAAGTCCGAGTAAACGTCCGATACATCTATGCAGGCATCAGTCTTAATTAGACACCCCTGCGTCACCTTCGACCTTTTTGGAGAAATGTTCTTTCGAGATTCTGTGACGGCCACAATCCTGCAACCAAATCCCAAATCCAACCTTTTTTTTTTTTTTCCAAAGAGGCATGAACTTTTCGTGACCACATCAGAAATCAAAGGGATTTCACGGTCATCTTGTAGAACGTGATGTCCTAAAAAATCTCAGTGAAAGAGAGAAATGGATTGAGTTATGGTTTCTTTTCTTGTTTCTGTGAGGGACGTGCAGTCGGCACAGGTGCAACAGAGTGCTGCGGGCCTTTAACATTTTTGAAAGGGGATTTAATCGCTTTGTGTTCTTGTGGTGCCGGCTCCTTTACGAAGGCTACACAGTATGTATTTGTATGTGTTCCCATAGCTTTCAAGTTATTTATTGAGTTGTTCAGTCAACTTTACAGGAAGCATTTTTGTGTATTTGTTAAAACATCTTTTGATAGAAAATGTTACCTATTATTCTTATTATTAATCTGGTTCATTTTAATGATAGTATAATTATACTACTACTAGCGCTACCACGACTACTAACAACATTAATCAGAACAACAACAACAACGCTCAGCGATGCAGTCTGTAATTTTAAGCACAGCCGCTACTCGATCCCAAACACATCTCACTCAGCCACACACCTTCAAAACCACTTCAAATAAGACATCCATCCAGCTGCTGGTAGGCTTCTGAGTCACTGCATCTCACCCCTGTACCAAACAGTCGGAGGGTT